TGACGACTACTCGCGCTACACCACGGTCTTCCCCTTGCGCACCAAGGGTGAGGTCCCTGATGTCTTGATCCCCTGGATCCGCAGAGCCCGTCTCCAGCTCAGCGAGCGTTTTCACTCGGACTTTCCTGTCCTGCGCTTGCACTCTGACAGAGGAGGTGAGTTCTCCTCTGACCTCTTGGCAGCCTACTATGCAGAGCACGGCATTGAGCAGTCGTTCACGCTTCCGGCCTCTCCACAGCAGAATGGGGTTGCGGAGCGCCGCATTGGCCTGGTCATGGAGGTCGCCCGTACCTCCTTGATCCATGCTGCTGCCCCCCACTTTCTGTGGCCGTTTGCGGTCCGGTACGATGCGCACCAGCTCAACCTCTGGCCCCGTGTCTCCTTGCCGGAGACCTCGCCCACGCTGCTGTGGACGGGGGAGGTTGGCAATGCGTCGCGTTTCCGGGTCTGGGGGTCTCAAGATTTTGTCCGCGATTCGTCTGCGGACAAGCTCTCCTCCCGTGCTGTTCCCTGCGTCTTCCTTGGCTTTGTCCCGGACGCGTCTGGTTGGCAGTTTTACCACGCCACCTCGCGCCGAGTCTTGCCCTCCCAGGACGTCACTTTTGACGAGTCCGTCCCCTACTACCGCCTCTTCCCCTACCGCACTGCCCCGCTTCCCCCCCCCCCGCCTCTCTTCCTCACGCCAGGTGCTGCTGTTGCAGACCCCCTCACCCCTCAGGGTGCCGCTCCCTCAGGTGTGTCTCAGGTAGACCCGGTTGAGCCTGTTGAGGTAGCGGTCGACTCTCGTCCTTCTAGGGGTGCTGAGCCTGGGGGTGCTGAGCCTGGGGGTGTGGAGCCTGGGGGTGTGGAGCCTGGGGGTGTGGAGCCTGGGGGTGTGGAGCCTGGGGGTGTGGAGCCTGGGGGTGTGGAGCCTCGTGGTGCTGAGCCGCAGATTCCGGCGTCTGGGGGTTCTGGGTCTGGAGGTACTGGCCCTGTGAGTCCTACTCCTGGAGGAGCCCTCTCCTCGGAGCAGCTGCGTACGTAGTACTTAGAGTACTGCACCCTCTGGAGAGGTTCCACTCGTGCCGGACGTACTGCTGGGACTGGTACTAGTGCTTCTTCTCCCGTTAGGGACCTCCCCTCCCGCGAGCGGATCCGTGAGTGGTACGAGCGGCGCTGCACTCTTTGGAGTGGCGTGCCTCGTGTTGCGGACCCCACTGGCGTTGGAGCTGCCGCTGGTGCTGCAGACCCGGGCGTTGGAGCTTCTGTTGGTGCTGAGGACCCGGGCGTTGGAGCTGCCGCTAGTGCTGCGGACCCGGGAGTTGGAGCTGTTGCTGGTGCTGAGGACCCGGGCGTTGGAGCTGCCGCTGGTGCTGAGGACCCGGGCGTTGGAGCTGCTGCTGGTACGGCAGACCCGGGCGTTGGAGCTGATGCTGGTGCTGACAGCCCGGGCGTTGGAACTGTTGCTGGTGCTGAGGACCCGGGCGTTGGAGCTGCCGCTGGTGCTGCGGACCCGGGCGTTGGAGCTGCCGCTGGTGTTGCAGACCCGGGCGTTGGAGCTGCCGCTGGTGCTGAGGACCCGGGTGGTGGAGCTGTTGCTGCTGCTGCGGACCCTGGGGCGAGTGTTCCTGCTGACTCTGATGTCGCTGCTCGGTCCCGGCCGTACTTCGTTCCGTTCCTGCAGCAGGTTCTTGGTTAGCTCCCTCCTCCTTGTCCTCCTCTCTCCTTAGCGTGTCCTCCGTCTGTCCAACTGCAGTCGCAGCTACCGTCTGCCTCCTCTCTCCCTGGTCCTGCTCCTTACACTGGTCCGACTGGAGGTCTTACTGAGCGTCGTGAGCCTGAGTCTCGCCCTGCGTCACCTGTCCGCACTGCTCTCTCTAGCAATCGTGTCCAGCGTCAGAGTCTTCCTGTTGTCCCAGGCACTCACCGGATGGCGCTTCGTCCGTCCACTGCTCCACAGCGTGTCCCACTACCGTCTCCTCCTACTTGTTCTCTTCCTGCTCTTGCTGACCCTGGGTCAGACTCTCTTCGTGCTGCCAGTCCTACAGTCACGCGTCTCCTGGCTACTGTTGTCACTGACCCTTCCTTTGAGTCTGCTGCTGCGTCAGCCTAGTTGCTGAGTCTGAGTCTGTCTGTCCTCCGTCCGTCAGGGGTGAGTGTGCTCTTGGCACTGACGTCCTTGAGGACAGGCAGGAGGAGTTTGAGTGCTTTGCTACCGCTTTGCCCCATCTCGTGTCCATGCTTGTTGCCCCTGAAGGAGACCCGGATGCACCACACATCCCGACCCCACGCTCTTACGCAGAGGCGATGGCCGGTCCCTACTCCTCTCAGTGGCAGTCAGCCATGGACACAGAGATGGCTTCCTGGAAGTCCACAGGCACCTACGTCGACGAGGTTCCCCCACCTGGGGCGAACATCGTCAGTGGCATGTGGATTTTCAGGGTGAAGCGGCCGCCGGGCTCTCCGCCTGTCTTCAAGGCGCGTTACGTTGCACGAGGCTTCAGTCAGCGAGAGGGAGTTGACTTCTTCCAGACCTTCTCCCCCACCCCGAAGATGACCACTCTTCGGGTTCTGCTGCACGTCGCCGCTCAGCGTGACTACGAGCTCCACTCGCTTGACTTGAGCACTGCTTTCCTGCAGGGCAGCGTGCACGAGGACATCTAGCTGCGCCGTCCACCTGGCTTCACTGGGTCGTTCCCTCCTGGTACCCAGTGAAGCCTCCGACGGCCAATCTACGGTCTCCGCCAGGCGCCTCGTGAGTGGCACGATACACTGAGGACTACGCTTGCGGGTCTTGGGTTCGCACCTTCTACTACTGACCCGTCGCTATTTCTACACACCGACACCTCACTGCCGCCGTTCTACGTCCTTGTGTACGTCGACGACTTGGTCTTTGCTACTGCTGACACTGTGGCACTCGCCCACGTGAAGTCGGAGCTGCAGAAGAGACACACGTGCACAGACCTGAGTGAACTGACAAGCTATCTTGGCTTGCAGATCACCCAGGAAAGAGCACGCCGCACCATCACCTTGACTCAGTCACACATGGTGCAGCAGGTCCTCCAGCGCTTCTGCTTCACGTACTCCTCGCCTCAGCCCACTCCTCTGCCTACCGGTCACTCGCTCTCAGCTCTGCCTTCGGATGAGTCCGTAGAGCCGAGTGGCCCGTATCCAGAGCTTGTGGGTTGCCTCATGTACCTGATGACCTGCACTTGACCAGACCTTGCATACCCTCTCAGCATTCTTGCACGCTATGTCGCTCCCGGCCGTCACCGGAAGGAGCACATGGATGCAGCTAAGAGGGTGTTGCGCTACTTGTGCAGTACGTCGGGCATGGGGCTAGTGCTTGGAGGGCGAGTCCCAGTTGTTCTCACTGGGCACTCAGACGCTTCTTGGGCAGACGACCAGGCTACTCAGCGGTCGTCTCAGGGTTACTCCTTCAGTCTTGGCTTTGGTTCTGTTTCTTGGCGTTCTACTCGCTCTTCTTCTGTTCTCAGCTCCAGTTGTGAGGCTGAGATCTACGCCACAGCCATGGCGGCTCAGGAGCTACGCTGGCTCACCTACTTGCTGACCGACCTCGGAGAGCAGCCTCGTTCTCCTCCAGTGCTGTAAGTCGACAACAAGGCAGCCATTGCCTTGTGTGAGGAGCACAGACTAGAGCACAGAACGAAGCACATTGCTCTGCGTTACTTCCTTGCTCGAGAGCTGCAGCAGCGTGGTCAGCTTCGCCTGCGTTACGTGGCCTCTGAGGCCAACACTGCTGATGTGTTCACGAAGGCGCTTCAGCCTTGTGACCATCAGCGCTTCTTCTAGGCCTTGTGCCTATTGGACCTCACTTACTTACTTCTTGAGTCTGTTTGTACTATGATCTCTATATATATACATGCATGTTTACTCTTGTTAGGTTGTGATCATTGTACCTTGTTCTATTATAAACCTGCATGTGAACTGGTCTTGTGACCACTTGCTTGTGCTCGGAATTTGTGTGGTATCCTTGAGATCCACCCTGAGCTTGTTTTGCCTTGCTTTGCCTTGACTGGTCTTGTGACCCCTAGTTCTCCCCCACTTTGCCTATGGGGGTGTGTCAAACATTATATATGTTGTGTTAGTTTAGGCTACAGTGGGTTAGCCTATAGGGGGTACACAATTCTAGGGTTAGGTACTTGTACTCATTTCACTGCTAGCTCATTCATTCCTGTTCAGTTATTCCAACACGTCCCTGCCCTAAGCGGCCCGGTCGCCGCCCCATCGGCCCCGTCGCCGACCCTTGTGGCCCCGTCGCCGCCCTCAGCGGCCCCGTCGCCGCCCCATCGTCCCCGTCGCCGACCCTTGCGGCCCCGTCGCCGCCCTAAGCGGCCCCGTCGCCGCCCCATCGGCTCCGTCGCCGCCCTCAGCGGCCCCGTCTCCGCCCTATCTGCCCCGTCGCCGAAACCCTGCGGCCCCAACGCCGCCCTAAGCGGCCCCGTTGCTGACCCTACCGGCCCCGTCGCCGCCCTATCGGCCCCATTGCCGACCCTACCGGCCCCTTCACCGACCCTACCGACCCTGTCGCCGCCCTCAGCGGCCGCGTCGCCGCCCTGCCGGCCCCGTTGCCGCCATAGCGGCCCAGTAGCCGCCCTCAGCGGCCCCGTCGCCGCCCCTTCACAGCCCCGTCGCCGTCTCTACCGGCCCCTTCGACGCCGCCAGCAGCCCAGCAGCCGAGGCGCCCACCAGCCGAGCAGCCGAGCCGCCCAGCAGCCGAGCCGCCGCGCCGCCCAGCAGCCGAGCCGCCGAGCCGCCCAGCAGCCGAGCCGCCGAGCCGCCCAACAGCCGAGCCGCCAAGCCGCCCAGCAGCTGAGCCTTCAAGCCGCCGAGGCGCCCAGCAGCCGAGCTGCCGAGCCGCCCTTCCTTCCGGCGCGCCCCGGCCCCACTTCCTTCGACTGGTGAGCTTACTCCCGGATAGACCCTTACAGTCATGGCTACCCCCAGTGTCCTTACCTTTGATACTGAGGGTCGAGCTGTAGACTTTGAGGTCTGGGTCAATGACCTTCAGCTGTTCTTACAGTGCGATATGGCGGACGGTCTCTCCTGCCCCGCCTGCTACTGCTGGCAGCACTCTTCGCTCACAGTGGGCCACACCTAATACTGCTGTACGTCTTGCTGTGCGTTGCCACTTACCGACCACTGAGCGTGCGCACTTTAGCCAGTACAAGAGTGCTAAGACCTTGTACGACGCTGTAGTTGCACGCTACTCCTCCCCTGCCTCTGCTGCGCTTAGCCGCCTCATGCTGCCGTACCTGTTCCCTGACCTTTCTGCCTTTCCCACAGTCGCTGACCTCATTACGCACCTTCGCACTAGTGACACTCGCTACCGCGCTGCGCTTCCCGCTAAGTTCTCTGCCAAGAACCCCCCCCCCATGTACATCACCCTCTACTATGTAGTCACCTAGCTCCCTGACTCCCTTCGCTTAGTCAGGGACCACTTCCTCTCAGTTTTCCCCACCACACTCACCGTTGACCTCCTCGAGGAGCGCCTCCTAGCAGCAAAGAAGAGCATAGTCGCTGTAGGAGCCTCTCGTGGTGACCCTCGCACCCTCGTCTTTTAGGGGTGTTCTCCCTCCCCCCTCTTGCCCTTTGTTGCTTCTGCTGCTGCGGCCGACCTCGTTGGCTTCGAGTCGGTCGGCGCTGCGTCTGTCCCTAGCGGGAAGCGCCGCACCGGCAAGGGCAAAGGGGGCAAGGGCGCTGGGGGGGCCATTGGGGGCGGTGGAGGTGGTGGTGGAGGCAATGGAGGGGGTGGGGGTGGTGGTGGGAGTGGTGGTGGGGGTGGAGGGGTCGGTGGCAGCAGTGGAGGCGGAGGAGGCGGCGGGGGTGGCGGAGGGAGCGGAGGCGGCGGTGGTGGCGGAGGCGGCGGAGGTGGCGGAGGCGGTGGAGGTGGTGGTGGAGCTGGACGCGGCTCTGCGCAGAGGAGTGGCTCCGGTGGTGGTCCGCGCCAGCAGCAGCAGCGCGGTCGTGAGACCCTGTCCCCTCAGCAGCTTCGTGAGTGGTACTCTGGGCGTCAGCGGGTTGGGGGTGCTGGTCCCTGCACCTACGTCCTCTGAACAGGCGAACGCGCTGGTGAGCAGTGCGGGGGCACACACTCCTCCCAGCGTTGCTTCGGCCGCCTGACGGACGCATGGCGTCATCAGTTCCCTGACGCCACTGAGATCCCTCGCTGGGGAGAGCTGTCTAGGGCGGGGGTGGCTATCTTTGATCTTGACTATGATGCTATTCTTACTGCTATGTATGCTGTGTCTACTAGTGATGAGGGTGACTGTTACCTGTGTGTTCCGCCTGACCCGGGCATTGAGGCTACTGCTCTAGGTGCTGGTGAGGCTGCTACTCCAGGTGCTAGTGCGTCTGCTACCCCAGGTGCTGGTGAGTCTAATCTCTCAGGTACTACGTTGGCTCAGGCCTTGCACACCTTCACCCTTGACTCGGGTGCTTCCCGCTCCTTCTTCCGAGACCGCACCACGCTTACGCCGCTTAGTCGGCCGGTAGCGGTCTCCCTTGCGGACCCCTCTGGGGGTCCTGTCCTTGCTAGCTTCTCCAATGTCTTAGCGTGTCCGGCAGCCCCCTCTGGCACTCTTTCCGGTCTCTACCTCCCCTCGTTCTCTACGAACTTGGTCAGTGGAGCTGATCTGCAGGATCAGGCGGTTCACCAGTTCACACCTGCGAGTCAGCGGGTAACCCACTGTACGTGCCGACACTTAGCCACATTTACCCGTCAGCCGGGGTCGAGCCTGTACACACTGACCACTGAGTCTACTCCTGTTACGTCGTCTGGTAAGGTAGCTGCGTCGAGTCAGGTGGTTGCTGCAGCGTCCAGGTCTGCCCCTACCTGCATCCCCTGTATCGAGGGGCGGCAGCGCGCTGCTCCTCACTCCTCCGAGTTTCCTCCGACAGAGGCTCCCCTGCAGACTCTTCACAAGGATGTGTGGGGCCCCGCCCGCGTCCGTGGCCAGGGTCACGAGCGTTACTTCCTGTTGGTGGTTGACGACTACTCGCGTTTTACCACGGTGTTCCCCTTGCGCAGCAAGGGTGACGTCACTGAGGTGTTGATCGATTGGATCCGCGCAGCTCGTCTCTAGCTCAGCGAGAGTTTCGGGTCGGACTTTCCTGTTCTGCGTCTGCACTCTGACAGAGGCGGAGAGTTTTCCTCTACCCATCTGGAAGCCTTCTGTCGTGCACAGGGCATCCGCCAGACCTTCACACTTCCGGCCTCTCCACAGCAAAATGGGATTGCTGAGCCCCGCATTGGCATGGTCATGGACGTCGCTCGTACGTCCATGATCCATGCGGCTGCTCCCCATTTTCTGTGGCCGTTTGCGGTTCAGTGCGCGGCGCATCAGCTGAACCTTCAGCCCCGGGTCTACTTGCCAGAGACCTCCCCCACCTTGCGGTGGACGGGGAAGGTCGGCGATGCGTCTGCGTTTCGGGTCTGGGGATCGCGGGCGTTTGTCCGCGACTTGTCTGCGGACAAGCTGTCCCCCCGTGCTGTTCCCTTGGCTTCCCCCCTGACGCGCATGGTTGGCAGTTTTACCACCCCACCTCGCGCCGTTTTCTATCCTCCCAGGACGTCACCTTTGACGAGTCGGTGTCTTACTACCGTCTCTTCCCCTACCGCACTGCGCCCCTCCCCCCGCCGCCGCTCTTCCTTGCGCTAGGTCCTCCCCCGGTAGACCTCCTCTCTCCGCAGGAGCTGCGCGAGTGGTTTGCCTGGCGCTGGAGCCGTGCTGCTGGAGCTGGAGGTACTAATATTGCTGCTGGTCCTGGAGGTGCTCGTCCTGGCGGTTCTGGAGCTGCTGGGACTGGGAGTCCTCCTGGAGGTGCTACTGGAGCTGGTGCTGCTGGAGCTAGTGGAGCTGCTGGAGCTGGAGCTGCTGGGGGTGTTGGCGCTGGTGACTCTGCTGGCGCTGGTGCTTCTGAGGGTGCTGGAGCTGGCGCTGGTCCTTCTGGGGGTGCTGGAGTTGGCGCTGCTGGAGCAGGACGTGCTGCTGGCGTTGGCGCTGCCGCTGGGGGTACTAGTGCTGTCCTTGCTGGTTCTGGAGGCGCTGCGCGGCCGCGGCCGTACTTCGTTCCGCTCCTTGAGCAGGTTCTTGGTCTCCCGCCCTCTACTGGTCCTGCTCCTCCCTTAGCGGGTCCACAGCCTGTCTAGTCGCGGTCACAGTTACAGCCTGCCTCCCCCCTGCCTGCTCCTTCTCCCTACACTGGTCCTACTGGCGGTCTTGCTGAGCGTCGTGAGCCTGCGTCTCGTCCTGCGTCGCCTGTTCGTGCTGCTCGCACTAGTGGTTGTGCTCCGCGTCCGCGTCCTCCTGCGGTCCCCGGCACACACCAGATGGCACTGCGTCCTTCTACTGCTCCTCTGCGGGTCCCGTTGCCGTCTCCTCCAGAGTTCTCTCTTCCTACTCTTGCTGACCCTGAGTCTGACTCTCTTCGTGCTGCCAATCCTACTGTCATGCGTCTCCTGGCTACTTCTTTCACTGACCCCTCTTTTCCGTCCACTGTTGCGTCTGCCTTAGTTGCTGAGCTTGTCGACTTTGCTGCTCGCCGTTGTCTAGACTAAGCAGCTAGTCTTGTTGCTATGTCTGAGTCAGTCTGTCCTCTGTCCGTCGGGGGTGAGTGTGCTCTTAGCACGGACGTCCTTGAGGACAGGCAGGAGGAGTTCCAGTGCTTTGCTGCTGCTTTGCCTCATCTCGTGTCCACGCTGATTGCCCCTGAGGGAGACCCGGATGCACCAGACATCCCGACTCCTCGATCGTACGCCGAGGCGATCGAGGGTCCTTACTCCTCACAGTGGCAGTCAGCCATGGACGCAGAGATGGCTTCCTGGAAGTCCACAGGCACCTACGTCGACGAGGTTCCTCCACCTGGGGCGAACATCGTCAGTGGTATGTGGATTTTCAGGGTGAAGCGGCCGCCGGGTTCTCCGCCTGTCTTCAAGGCGCGTTACGTGGCTAGAGGCTTCAGTCAGCGGCAGGGAGTTGACTACTTTCAGACCTTCTCCCCTACCCCGAAGATGACCACTCTTCGGGTGCTGCTGCACATAGCCGCTCAGCGCGACTACGAGCTTCGCTCTCTTGACTTCAGCACAGCTTTCTTGCAGGGCAGCCTGCACGAGGAGATCTGGCTGCGCCGCCCACCTGGCTTCACTGGGTCGTTCCCTCCTGGTACCCAGTGGAGTCTCCGGCGGCTAGTCTACGGTCTCCGCCAGGCGCCCCGTGAGTGGCACGACACACTGAGGACTACACTAGCGGCTCTTGGGTTTGCTCCTTCTACTGCCGTCCCGTCGCTGTTTCTGCGCACCAACACCTCTTTGCCGCCGTTCTACATCCTCGTGTACGTCGACGACTTGGTCTTTGCCACTGCTGACACTGCTGGACTAGCCTACGTGAAGTCCGAGCTGCAAAAGAGACACATGTGCACAGACCTGGGTGAACTGCACAGCTACCTTGGCTTGCAGATCACCCGGGACAGAGCACAGCGCACCATTACCCTGACTCAGTCACACATGGTGCTTCAGCGCTTCCACTTCACGTACTCCTTGCCTTAGGCCACTCCTCTGTCTACTCGCAACTCGCTCTCAGCTCTGCCTTCGGATGAGTCCGTAGAGCCGAGTGGCCCGTACCCAGAGCTTGTTGGCTGCCTCATGTACCTGATGACCTGCACACGACCTGACGTAGCATACCCTCTTAGCATCTTGGCATGATATGTGGCTCCTGGGAGACACCGACCAAAGCACATGGCTGCAGCGAAGAGGGTGTTGCGCTACTTGTGCAGTACGTCGGGCATGGGGCTAGTGCTTAGAGGGCGACATCCAGTGGTTCTCACAGGTCACGCAGACGCTTCTTGGGCTGACGATCATGCTACGCAACTGTCGTCACAGGGCTACACCTTCAGCCTTGGTTCCGGCTCTGTCTCGTGGCGGTCTACCCGCTCGTCTTCGGTTCTCGGCTCCAGCTGTGAGGCCGAGATCTACGCAGGGGCCATGGCTGCACAGGAGCTCCGCTGGCTCACCTACCTGCTGACTGACCTTGGAGAGCAGCCTCGTTCTCCTCCAGTTCTGTACGTAGACAACAAGGCCATGCTGGCCTTGTGTCGGGAGCACAGACTGGAGCACAAAACGAAGCACATTGCTCTCCGCTACTTCCTTGCTCGTGAGCTGCAACAGCGCGGTCAGCTGCGCCTTGCTTACCTGGCCTCTGAGGCCAACACTGCTGAAATTTTTACCAAGGCACTTCCGCCTTGTGATCATCAGCGCTTTTGTACTTTGCTAGGTCTTGTGCCTACTTGGCCTCACTTGCTCACCTCCTGACTTTGCTTGTACTGTGATCTATATATACCTGCATGCTTACCCTTGCTAGGTTGAGATCACTGCCTTGCTTGTTCTTCTTGATTTATAACTCTGCATGTGAACTTGCCTTGTGGCCTTGTGCTCAGATTGTGTGGTTACGTTGTGATCCAGCCTGGGCTTGCCTTGCTTCTCTTGACTGGTCTTGCGACCCCTTTTTCTCCCCCACTTTGCCTATGGGGGTGTGTCGAACTTATATGCTATAGTCTGTGTAGGCTGTAGTGGGGTAGTCAATATGGGGTACAACACTTTAGGGTTTCGTACTTGTACTCCTCATGCTGCTCAATGCAATCATTCCTTCCTCAGATTTCCACAGTTGATCGACTGGATCCGTGCAGCTCGTCTCCAGCTCAGAGAGAGTTTCGGCTCGGACTTTCCTGTTCTGCGTCTGCACTCTGATAGAGGCGGGGAGTTTTCCTCTGCCCTTCTGGGAGCCTTCTATCGAGCACAGGGCATCCGCCAGACCTTCACCCTTGTGGCCTCTCTAAAGCAAAATGGGATTGCCGAGCACCGCATTGGCATGGTCATGGACGTCGCTCGTACATCCATGATCCATGCGGCTGCTCCCCATTTTCTGTGGTGGTTTGCGGTTCAGTACGCGGCGCATCAGCTCAACCTTCAGCCCCGGGTCTCCTTGCCAGAGACCTCCCCCACCTTGCGGTGGAAGGGGAAGGTTGGCGATGCGTCTGCGTTTCGGGTCTGGGGATCTCG